TAGTGCGGCATGTGCAGCAGCAAGCATGGTGGTCGGTGTGGACCTGAAGTTGTCAGATCAGAGGATGGTTCTGTGTTCCTGAGTGTATTTCCTCCATTTATATCCTGATGAATTCCCTAATACTCCTTAGGCAGAGTCTTGTGGATTTCTCTCAGTCGGTAGAGCATGAGACTCTTAATCTCAGGGTTGTGGGTTCATGCCCCACATTGGGCACCAGATGAAGTGAGAAATCCTCAGATCTGACCAGGAGCGAATCCACCTGGCAATTCAGTCACACTAGGAAACAGGGAGAGGGGACCTTGTGACCCCTCTCCCTTTCCTTTTAAGAGGTCATGTACAACAGCAAGAAGCACCGCCTCCTTCGGGCTATAGCCCAAGGTCATGCATGGGTGGAGCAAATACCGCTGCACAGGTTAGTGATTGTGTGAGCCTTCCTGTGGAGTCCTTGACCCCTCTGGCTCCCACACTCCTTTTTCCTCCTCCTCCCTCCCCTCCTCTGAAAGATTCCCAGGATCCACCTAATGTTTGGCTGTGGGTCTCTGCATCTGCCTCCATCAGTTGCTGAATGGCACCTCTCTGAGGACAACTGGGCCAGGCACCAATCTGGTCACAGACCAGTTCAGGCTACTTATCCACTATTGGTAGGAGTCTAAGCTGGGGTCCTCCCTGTAGACTCCTGGGAGATTCCTCTGTGCCAGGCTTCCACCTGACCCCTAAATGCACCCCTAACAACCCCCTCAGCATTCTTCCCCTCTGCCCCCTGAAACCTGATGCTCATGTTCCCATCCCCAACCTGCCCTCAGTTCCCTCATGCAGACTCTCCTGTTTACCCTTTCCGGGGAGATAAGGGTGTCCCCCATAAACTCTCCTTGTTACCTAGTCTCTCTGGGTCTGTGGATTGTAGCATGGTTATCCTTTATTTTACAGCTAATACCCACTTATTAGTGAGTACATACCAGGTTTGTCTTTCTGGGTCTGGGTTACCTCATTCAGGATGATTTTTTTCTAGTTCTGTCCATTTGCCTTCAAATTTCCTGGTGTCCTTGTTTTTTTAACAGCTGAGTAATACTCCATTGTGTAAATGCACCACATTTTCTTTATCCATTCCTTGGCTGAGGGACATCTAGGTTGTTTCCAGGTTCTGGCTATTACAAATAAAGCTGCTATGAACATAGTTGAGCAAGTGTCCTTTGCCTTATAGAAACTTCAATTTCATGAGGTCCCATTTATTAATTGTCAATCTTAATGCCTGTACTGTTGGTGTTCTGTTCAGGAAGTTGTCTCCTGTGCCAATGCATTCCAGATTATTTCCCACTTTCTCTTCTGTCATGTTCAGTGTACCTAAATTTATGTTGAGGTCTTTGATGCACTTGGACTTGAGTTTTGTGCAGGGTGATAAACATGGATCTATTGCCATTGTTCTACATACTGACATCCAGTTAGACCAACACCATTTATTGAAGATGCTTTCTTTTTTCCATTGTATAATTTTGGTTTCTTTGTTGAAAATCAGGTGTCCATAGGTGACATACACAATGTTTTAAGCAAGAAATATTTTTCTATATTCTAGAAATTTTTATTGTTTGCCTCTGACAGTACATGTCCAATCCATCATTTTTCCCTTCATGGATATCCAATTGGCCTGGTGCTTTCTCCATTATTCTGCATGTCACAAATCAGGCGCCTTAGCAGGCGTGGGTTTGTCTGGAATCTGCATTGTCAGCTCAGTAAGACGGTCCATCCTTGTTTCAACACTAAAGGATCTGTTATCTTAGATTATATTATAGACACCCCCCTTAAAAATAGCTATTTTATGAAAGGAATTCATCTTTTTCTTTATTTCCTTGCTGAAATTGGCTTGTTTTTAAATCATGAACAGAAAGTGAATTTTGGGAGGGGCTGTGGGCTGTCTTGATCTTGTGCAGGTAACGATGGCTGCCCTGGGTTCATGAGTGGGATATTCATGTCTTGTCCAGAACACAGCCTTAACAAAGTTTTTCTCTGATTTTTTTCCATATTTTTTCTCCATATTCAAATGTTAAATTAATTGCACATTTCTGGAGTTGAGTTAACTTGGTCAGCATGCATTATATATTCATGGTAAACTTCATAGGTGAATATTTAGTGTAGCTGGAGAGCTTCTCTCCAGGTCCCACCAAGCCCTGCAGTCCCACAACCCATGTATAAAATAATCACTCAGACACTTATATTACTTATAAACTGTATGGCCATGGCAGGCTTCTTGCTAACTGTTCTTATATCTTAAATTAACCCATTTCTATAAATCTATATCTTGCCACGTGGCTCGTGGCTTACCGGCATCTTTACATGCTGCTTGTCCTGGTGGTGGCTGGCAGTGTCTCCTCCCACCTTCCTGTTCTCTCAGTTCTCCTCTCTGTTAGTCCCGCCTATACTTCCTGCCTGGCCACTGGCCAATCAGTGTTTTATTTATACAGAACGATATCCACAGCAATTTAGTTTGTGCTTCTGCATCTGTATTTGTGAGTGGGATTCCTTTGTATTTGTTTTTTTATTCCCTGCCCCCAACTTCACCCTCTCAGGGTTCTGACTGGGCCGAAGAATTAGGTTGATGTAAGAAAGATGTTACTGTTTTTAAATGTGGTTTTATCTTGGTGGTACTGGAGAGAGCCCAGGCCTTCACAGTGGCCCTGCCTCTGGTCTGTGCCTTTGGCCCAGTTTGTCTCATCTCTTAATAGCCTTTCTCTTTTCTGGAAGAATTTGTGTCCAGTCGAAATAACTTCTTTTTCTAATATTGGTAGTACTTACTGGTGACATCTCTGGGATGTTCTTTCATAAGGACGGTTTCAAATTACGAATTTTCGAACTCTAGGCAGAAGCACGTTTTGAGATGTTTGTCTTTTTCTCCTCTTCTCAGACCATAGTCCTTGCTCCCTGCTCTGTAATGGCCAGAAACAGAGGTGAGTGAGGCCTGGGTGACATAGCAGCTGCCTTGGCAGCTGGACTGTCCAGCAGTGGCTCACTGTGGTAGAATATCATGCTGTCATTCTGCGTTTGCTCTGATTCAGGTCGGGAGCAAGCACTGCGCTGCATGCATGGAAGGACTGATGCATTGGGAGCAAGTAGTAGATTGCACAGCTTGTTCATGTCTGTAGTGATTGTGTGTGTGTATGTGTGTGTGTGTGTGTGTGTGTGTGTGTGTGTGTGTGTGGTGCTGTGGATTAAACTCAGGACCCTTTTCCATGTTAGGCAGCTGCTTTACCACTGAGCTTCAACCCCAGCCTAGAGAATGGCTTTTTAAAATGCAGTTCAGATGAATGCTTTCGAGTTGGCGGCTCTTTATGTTACGGGACGAAGAATGAAGCATCCAGGTCCCTCACCCCTGTGCTGCACCTCTCTTCTCTGGTTCATCCCTGGGGGTCCCTGGTGTGGAGAACGTTATCTGCGTCTTTAGATCTTGTGGTGGTTGCATTGTTAAGTCATGGGGCAGCCATCTGATGGGACTAAGACCAGGCTTTAGACCCAGCAGTGTTTCACTGCATACCCATGTGCCGCAGCTTGACTTTTATTATAAGATACCCAGCTCTGGAGGCTTTCTGTGTGGTTGTCCTAACATTGCACAAATGATTGGCCTGGTGACTTTTAAATGCCCTTCACCCTGGAGATCTATTACACTGAGCAAATTAGATTTCAGCAAGAACATCTTGAGTGCCATCTTAATAGTGTGTGATCTCAGAAGAAAAAACTGTCTTTGTCTTCAAAGCGCAGGATTTTGTTGCTGAGATAGTAGCTCAGAATGCTGTTGAAAACGGCCAGAATGAACAGCACACCCCACAGATGCCTGAGCTATAAAGTCAAAGGGAGATGGTGCAACAGAAGTGTAATGAGATGGAGCATGTCTCAGTATTGTGTGTGTGTGTGTGTGTGTGTGTGTGTGTGTGTGTGTACATTCGTGTGTAGATGTAACCAACCGTCTTATTAAATAAGAAACACAGAGCCAATTCAGAGAAGAAAGCCAAAAGGTCAGAACTAAGAGCCTTACCCTTCCTGCTTCAGCCAAGAGAGCTCTCCGAAAAGAGAGCTACTTCCTGTGTGTTTGTCTTTATAGCCTTTCTGTTTTGCCTTCTTATTAGTTGTAAACCCAAACACATGACTGCCCTCGTCACTGCCTGTCTGTAGAGACTTCCAGGTCTTCTATGGTTGGGATTGAGATTAAAGGCGTGTCTCCAATGCTGGCTGTATCCTTGAACACACAGAGATCTACCTAGCTCTGTCTACCAAGTGCTGGGATTAAAGGCGTGCACCACCACCGCCACGCTCTTGCTATGGCTCTAATAGCTCTGACCCCTGGGCAACTTTATTTATTAACATACAATTAAAATCACATTTCAGTACAAGTAAAACACCACCGTATCGTGTGTGAGTGTGTGTACATCCATGTGTGTATGTGTGTGTGTGTGTGTGTGTATCCGTGTGTGAGTGTGTATATGTCCTTGTGAATGTATGTGTGTGTGTGTGCGCACGTGCGCGCATCCATGAACGAAAGCCACTGAAGCAGGACAAAGGTGAGCATGTTCACAGGAAAGGAATGTCAGGGTAGAGCCAAGCCTAGCAGGAGTGGACAGCTGTCTTGTTTTGAACTACCTGGCTAAGTCAATGCACTGTAGCAGTTTTACCAACTATGGTGTTCCTGTCAGCAAGGCCAGCCTGGTGGTAGAATGGGCCACCTACATTTGGCAAGCTCGGAATAGCATAACTAAGATGCCACCTGTAATTATTTAATGTCACAGCAGAGATCTGCGGTGGGCGGGGCTTCTGGCTGAGATCTGTGGTGGGCGGGGCTGCCATCTGAGATCTGCGGTTGTTTTTGTTTGTGTTTATCTTACAAGGTCACAGTGAGGCTAAGACTGTCTTGCTGGGTGTACACAGTACTCCCTGATGCCCCTTAAGTTTTATCATGGTATTGGAACAATTCAGAGCACAGTAATTTTTGTCTAATATTTTTCAAATAAAATCAAATGCACATTTACCAAAAAAGTTTAAATTTGCTACAAAATAATAAAAACATTGACAGTAGTCTAAATGAGTTATAGAATATTTCCAAGGCATGGTGTGTTCTTGATCATCTGCAAGTATGAACACCCAAATACTGAATTTGAGCTAGTATAATACTGCGTCCTTCTGTTGAATGTACCAAAAAGAGCCTGAAAACATGACTAACGTGAAAAGCTTTGTATTTAAGTCTGTAGTAGAAGTTTCTCGGTCCTGACTAGCTCCACGGTTGGACGAATCTCTCCCACTCAAGCTCTTGCAGCCGGTTATAAAATAATCACTCAGAGGCTTATATTAATTCCAAACTATATGGCCTATGACTCAGGCTTCTTGCTAGGTAGCTCTTTCATCTTAAATTAACCTTTGTCTATTATCTATATGTTGCCACATGGCCATGGTGTTACTGGTTCCTTCAGCATCTGGATCATCTCAGCCAGCAGTCTTGAAGCCTTTCTGGGTGCAGAACTCAGAGGAAACTGCAACAGAAGTGTTCTGAAATGTTGGATCATCTGGACCATCTGTTTTCATTGGTGTCTGGTCCCCTCATCCTAAAAAATATATACATTTTTAAAGGTAACATATATCTCAGCATTAATACAAGTACAGATTGTACATTGTACACAAGTCAGCCAAAGACAATTTCTAGTTATGTGTTTGAGCAGGTAAAATATACATCACGTGTCTTGCATTTCTTTCAGGTTTATGTTTTTATGTCTGTAGTCAGGATTTCAGAGTATCTTCCTCAATCAAATCTGATCATCTTTAATTTTGAATGAATCCATAGCCTCTCATTTCCTGTGGAAATAAAAGCATAACCTCTCCCCCAAAGTGGCATACCTTTTGACTTAAGTTTTGGAGTCAAGATATTTTTAAAACATGTGGGTTGGTTTAATCCAGCAGCTTTTATAATCAAATGTCTTATAGCAGTCAAAAATTTTAAAGACAACACAGTAATACACATAATCCAGACTTTATGTGCACAAGACAACACAGTAATACACATAATCCAGACTTTATGTGCACTGTCCATCCTTATGTGGCTCATTGTTGGGCTTCTAAGACTCTCCATTTGGAAGTTTGTCTTCTTGGCAAAAAATTGGCCTGCTGAACAAAGAACTGCCCTTGCCTCAACTGCTGACAATATGCACACTGTCCTTTCTGGACAAGCAGGACACAAGGAAAAGCAACTGCTGAACTTTGCCAAGACAGGGTAAGACTGTCTCTCAAAATTCCTGCTTCTGAAAATGGTCTGTCAGATATTCTAGGCCTGTAGCCAAGGGTGGATGCCCCAATGGTGCTGAGAAACTTTAGGTAACTCTCCAGGCTGCCAGCTGTCTCTGTCTATTTTCCCAATTTTTTGGAAGTTGCTTGCTTGCACTTCCAGTTTTCTCAGGAATATTATTTTCCTTCTCAGGTCTTTGATGGGGTTGAAAACTAGATAATTACAGTTATAATCCTCTCATATCTTAGCTAGAACGTATTAGGTACTAGAGTTAGATTCTTCAAGATAGGACAGCTATTGGAGTAATCTCAGTAGCTTGCCATTTACCTATGATCTGGACATTTCTGGACATTTAGCATTTGTTTCTTGTTTGCTATTGTTCTTGTTGGTTGTAGTTCCATTTTTGTTTATGTTAGTACCCTTTGTTTCTCCTGAACAATACTTGCTTGCTTGATAACTGTTTTGTTATATATAATTTTACTATGTTAAAGTTAAAACCTTCCTCTTTGATTAGACAGAAAAGGAGAAGTGCTATGGGATGTCTTTCTGTACACTGTGAATATATGTCACTCTCATTGGCTAATAAATAAAGCTGCATTGGCCTATGGCAGGGCAGAATGGAGCCAGGCGGGAAATCCAAGAGACATGAGAGAGAAGAAAGGTGGGGTCAGGGAGATGCTGCAGGCCGCCGCCAGGAGAAGCAAGATGTGAGAGAGCAGGTAATGCTCAAAGCCACGTGACAAAACAGATTAATAGGAAAGGGTGGAGTTAAGTTATAAAAGCTAGCTAGCAAGAAGCCTGAGCCGTAGGCCATATAGTTTGTAATTAATGTAATTAAGCCTCTGTGTGTTTACTTGGGACTGAGCAGCTGGGGGACCAGGTGGGACACAGGAAAACTTCCGCCTACATAAGTCGGTACAAATTTTCTAAAATCTGCATTTAAAAATGCTCAGTAAGCGTGCCAAAGTCCTTGCTGTGTGTATTCCTTTTCTGTACTGGTTTGTTTTTGAGCTAACTGAGAGTGATCATTTAAAAGTGGAGAAAGTCCTGGGGAGACAGATCAGTAATAGCTCAGCTTGGAGACAGAGTTGAATGTATGCGTATGAAATTTATTCCATAGCTAGGATAGTTTAAATTCTCTCAAGTGAAACTTAAGGTACAACTGTGCCCACTGTCCTCTGTACTGTAATAGATGCTCAGACATTGGACTTAGAGAAATGAAGCACAGAAGTGTGGGCACTCCCTGTCTACCCTTGATCACTCAGTATTGATTACTGTAGGACCATGTCTGTAGCTAATTTCATATCTTCCTTGGATTTTCTAAAGGCGCCATCAGAATCTCCCAATACATATATGATGCATCATTTTAAGTGAGGAATAACTGGGGTAGGGTGGGACTTGAACTAAGGGAAATTAAGTTTCTATGAAGAATAACATAAAATTTTCTTTGCTTTTCATCTCATTAATATGCATTTTATTCTTTTCAACAAGGTGGCATTTGGCCTATAAGACATACGTTGCAATTTAATGATGTTTGATTTTTTTTTCTTTTAGTTATTTGTATAGGTGTTTTGCCTATACATATGTCTGTACACCACTGTGTACCTGGTGCCCTCTGAGGCCAGAAGAGGGCATCAGATCCACTGGAATTAGAATCATAGAGATGTGAGCCGCCACGTGGGTGCTAGGAGTTGAACTAACCATTGAGCCGTCTCTCCAACCCCTGTAATTTATATTTTATTGAAAAATCATAATATTGACTTTTCAGAGCTGTTGGGGCTGTTGCTTTTATGGCTATGTCATCTTTTCTTGGTTCATTTTTGGCAGATAAGATAACACACGAAGATATTGAAGGCATTCTGCAGAAGTTTACTGGGAATATAATGCAAGTACCCCCACTGTAAGTTCAGTTATTAAATTTGTTTAATTTTGTCATCTGTAGGTTAACATCAATAATTAGAATAAAGTGGGCTTTTTTTTTTTTTTTTTGCTCTGTTTTAATCTGGACATTGTAAATAATTAAAAATAGATGAGCAGATTCAGCCTGGATGCAAAGCTTTGATCCCGAGACAGAAGAGCATTCAGATCTGTGCTGGATGTTAGCACAGCCTGGCCTCTGTGCGTCCCGTTTCACTGACTCTTCAAGTTCTGTCTGTAGATAACAGGGCAGTAACAGATCCAGGGATGTTACTCTCCCTAAAATTAAGTGACAGGACTGTGTTAAAGCTACTGACCTGTGATTCGGAGTCACAGTGTGTGCTGCCTGCCTGCCCCAGAATCTGTACAGCATATCCAACAGATAAAAGTTACGTTTGTAAAAAATGTGGGTATAAATGCCTCACCACTTGTCTTGGTACACTAGCATGCCTATAATAAACACCACAGACTCGGGAGCTGCTTCCCGTGGTCCTGGAGGCGCTGGCGGATGGTTTTGCTGGTAAAAGCTGCCTTCTTATAGATGCTGCCTCGGTGTGGCGTCTGTGTGGGGCAACAACCACTTCCTTGAGGGCTCTGGTTTATGACCTGGTCACCCTCCAAAAGGCTCCTCCTCCTAATGCCACCATCTTGGTACTTAGAATTTCAGCAGGTGACTAGGAGGGGAGGCAGTCAGGCCACAGTGCCACTTAGCCGTATTTGTGTGCACATTACTAGCATAGATCTAGGATATTACTCGGAATTTATATTTTATTTGTGTTTAGAAATCTTATTTCTGTTTCTCCAAGAACATTTTTCTCAAATACAAAACTTTGAAATTTTTAGGAACATCTGCATAAAATGTTTTAATCATTTGTTAGACTAAGTTAAACATATATGTTTATTGTATGTGAACTTCTTTAGCATTTTCTGTGATTATCCATGGGTTTGTGGCGTCATGAGATTTCACAACACAAAGCTAAGCTCTGTTTCCTGTGTGAGACATTTTTCAGGGAGAAGCTGCTTCTGAGTTGGGGGTTAGTGAAGGGAGCTGACAAGGTCATCTCCAGGAAAGCTAAGGAAGAAAATGCATGCTGCTCACGGTTTATATCTGTCTCAGAGATATGTAGGGACTTCATCCCCGGGACAGCAGCAGACCAGGAGAAAAGACAGTTGAATTTTAGAAGGAACTTGGGTGTCAGGAGCCGCTCCTCATCCTTCACCCCATGCCTCTGGGAGTTACGCTCTCAGCACCGTCAACTCTCTCACCCCCACTCTTTTCTTATCACAAAGCTATTCTGCACTGAAGAAGGATGGGCAAAGGCTTTCAGCGCTGGTGAAGAGAGGTGAAGTAGTCGAGGCCAGACCTGCCAGGCTGGTGACTGTGTACAGCATCTCCCTCCTGAGATTCCAGCCACCGCTTTTCACTTTAGGTACGATGGAGAGGTTTGAAGTAATCTGCTTTGCTCATATCTTTATTTTGCGTTTGGCTAATTTTACATAGTTAGAATGGATCCTTTTGGTCTTGGAATTTCTTTGAATGTAAGAAAAGTTATGGTTTGATTTCCTGAGTTAAATGTAACTAACTCCGTAGAGGTTCAGAAATATATAACTAGGCTGGTTTTCAGATGTTTTGCTATCATTTTACTATAAATTTGGGAGTTAAATACTTTAGATCTCTTCAGAGAAGAGAAGTAGGTAGAGGATGTGTATTTTCAAGATTTTAGAGTTGGGGCGGTTAAGAGCACTGGCTGTGTTTCCAGAGGACCTGAGTTTGATTCCCAGCACCCACATGGCAGCTCATGACCCTCCATAACTCAGTCTCAGCGGTTCCAACAACTTCTTACCTCCTTGGGTACCAGGTACACACATGGTATGCAGACATATGTGCAAATAGATTCCCCATACATGTAATAATAAAAATACATATAAATTAAATTTTTTTTTAGTTTTATCTTACAGATACTTTTCCTTCCATTTTGATTCATACTTAATGCATTTCATTTTAGAGTAAATATTGATCTGCCCCTTTGAGACAGCATGTTTAGTTAGTTTTGGGATAAAAGGCTGTAAAAGTGAACTGGTTTCTATCCTGTTCCTTCTTTGTGACCTGCAGGTTAGTACCAATGATGGGGAATATGGGAGAAGTAGGTGAGATGAATGTGTTGTTGGACACCTGGTCACATTTTTGGTTCAGGTTGTCAATTTGAACATGTGATCCATATTTGAAGTAAATTTAAAAATGAAGAAACACTTGTTTCTATAGTTTAAAATTGTCTATGTAGTTTTAAAATGCAGTTGTTAGTCCTTGGGCTCCTTGAAATCAATCCAGCCCTTCATTTCACAGTAATTCTGACTAGAATCCCCTTTAGATGGCATTTCCCAAAGCCTTTCCTTCCCTCACCTCACTACTTCTCCCCACCTCACTGCTTCTCCTCGCCCTCACTGCTTCTCCTCGCCCTCACTGCTTCTCCTCACCTCACTGCTTCTCCTCACCCTCACTGCTTCTCCTCACCCTCACTGCTTCTCCTCACCCTCACTGCTTCTCCTCACCTCACTGCTTCTCCTCGCCCTCACTCCTTCTCCAGGCTCTCACTGCTTCTCCTTGGCATTCTTACTTCACACATAGTAAGTTCCTGCAGAAGGTGGTACAGTTAAAAAAACAAGTCTTTTGCTTACATTTCCTGATTCTAAATGACTTGACAAATAATGAAGGAAAATAAAGCCTTACAGAGTGGTCCTTTCCGTTCGCTCCGTGAAAGTGCAGCCTCCTCTTTGGCAGAGCAGAGATGCCATGAACGATCAGGATTTCCTGGCTGCATGTACGTCCGAAGTGCCTGACTGTACTGACTGGAGTGTGACGGGCGTCTGTGAGCAGCTGTCTTCTGAAGTGCCACTCAGCCCAGGGTGACCCCGGTGCTCCGCTCCCTTCTCGTCTCAGTAGCCCCCGTTGTGAGCTGTAGAAAAGAATTAAAGTCCCGGGTGCTGAGTTTGGATTAGTCCTTCCGAATCTCTTTATTTGATTGTGCAACTAGAAATGATGTAGAAGAGGGAGTGCGTGGCAGCCCCACCCAGGCGTTGATGAGCCCCTCCTGCAGGCCTGCCCTCCGCCCAGCATGTGAGGCCGTGCCGAATGCAACACTGTCAGCTTTACTGCAGAGTGTGGCTTTGTCTCATTTTATGGTTTTAGCACCCTAAGCATGGTTCTTTTCATTGCCAAAGGGATTTTTTTGGTTGGTGTTTGGTTCAATTTTTTCAAATGTTATAAAATCTGAAAATATTTTTAAAACCTACAGCTCATGATAGAAAAGCTGAGATTTCTGACCATTTCAAACATAATAAATGAACAAAGTATACAAATCTGAAAATGTTTTTTAGCATCTATAGCTCATGATAGCAAAGCTGGGATTTCTATTTAAAACCTATTAAATGAACAAGGCTGAGGTATTAACGTGATGTGGCTTGCCAGTTAATTTAAAATGTGTTCATGACTTTCTGCCTGCTCCATCCACACTCTGACTTTTCAATCTCACAAACACATACGCTGCTGGATGAATAATTTATGGTTTAGCACATAAATATTTTATGGCTCGATTGTTTGCATAGTGCGTTTTTACATGTGTTGAAGAGCATCATTTTTATGTAAAGTGGATCTCTCAGGAGGTCAGCCTTTTACCAGGTCCCTGCTAACATTCCAGATGTTGAATGCGGAGGAGGCTTTTACATCAGAAGCTTGGTGAGTGACATTGGCAGAGGTAAGCAGAAGGCTGAATTATGAATTATCATTTGGAGAGCAATGCTCCTTTTTGATGGGAAAGGGAATTTTCTGTTTTTCGTTTTTCTGAGTACTGGCTGAGGAATTGAACTGTTGCTGCTTTTAGCGCAGATGCATTGTGGGTTTATAGTGTGCACTTACAAGGCCAGCAGCTGCAGCGAGGCGCTGGTAATGGGTGGGCGTGAAACACAACAGAGGAGCAGAAAACGAACACAGTGATAATGGATGGAAAAAACCAACATTTTTTCCAAGTAAAAAACATTTTCACTCAAAGTGAATGTCAGGAACAAAAAGAGTTATCCTTCTAAAAACTATTTACATTGATACAAATCAGTTTTTTTTGTTTTTGTTTTTGTTTTTAAACTGGAAACCACAATCTTACAAGCACCTGGAGAGTTCTGGCTCTGCCTCTCCTGTTCCCTGGTCACATGACAGTGGACAGGCTACATTATCTTATTTGCAGAATAAGGGGAATAATTGCCTCTTGGGGTTGCTTCAAGTGCCAAGTGGTTTTGAAAAGCAGGTGTAAGTAAGTTTAAACCACTAAAGAGTCTTCCCTGCTTAAGCTCTGGTTTACCTCAGGCTCTGGACTCCTGTACTGGGCTAGTACCCTGAGACGTCTGGGTAGAGTTCTATTGTTTGAAAATTTGAAGATTGTGAATACGCATGACTCTCCTTACGTTTTCACTTTTGGATGCTGTAGAACTCTCTTCCTGTGCCAACGTGCTGGAACTGACCCGCACCAAACAGGGGCCATTTACACTTGAAGAGCATGCCCTCCCTGAAGACAGGTGGACCATCGATGACATTGCACGGTCCCTGGAGCACTGCACATCTCTTCTGCCAGATGAGCTGGCATTTAAAAAATCAAGATCTGAGCAATCCAGTGACCAGGCTTTAAGCTATGAATATATAACTCTAAACGAGGCAAAGAGAGAAGAGGATGCAATCAAGACACTTTGAGACCAGCCAGGGAGGGTTGTTTCCTGGTTGGTGTGTGTACCTGACCCAGGAGTGGTCATTTCTTTGCAAGATGTCTTAATGTCGCTGAATGATGAATATGATTGGATTCAGATAAATAAGCTTTCTGAATTTGATCTTTCCTTAGTCTTTTTCGTATGAAAAAGTAAACAATTTTCTAATCACAGAAAACAAGTCATCCTGTTAGTGCCACAGAAGCAAGTGGACTGGGGGCTCCCACTCTTCTGGAATTCTTTGAGTATATTTGAAGTGTTCAGTATTGAACTGTCCTGTGTGTTTGCAGAGCTCAGGGCTGTGTGAAACGCTGTACTGATGGGCTGTGTTTCTTAGATCTTGAAAATGAATACGTTTTTCTAATAAATACTTGCAAATGCCCAGACTTCTGCTCCTACTACTGACAGAACGTAGTAGGTGAATGTGTGTTTAGTCTCTCTCCTGTCTAGAGCAGAACTGGGCTCCTGTAGCTGTGTATTGTGGCAGCTATTTCTGTGGCCAACCACATCGTATCAAATAACTAAAAACGGAGTTTTAGGATATCAACTAAAGAATGTATCTTGGATTAAAATTCTGTCCTGCCTGCTCGTCAGTGTGTGTCTGTGTCTCTCCGTGACATGGTTTCTGTAGTTACTTACTCCTTCTAGGTGACACTGTGGTGTGGAGAGCTCCACTGCAACTCTCAAATGCTGGCTTCATGTAGCTGCAGGAAGCTCTCACCCCCTGTAATATGATCCTGAGAATGGGATCACTTTTAAAAATAGCAAATTCCATGAATGCCTAATTTTTTTGTTATGGGAATATTTATTTATTCATTTATTTGTGTGTTTTGGGTTCTTGGAGACAAGGTCACCTTAACTCGGGATAGTGGAGCTGGAGAAGAGGCTCTGTGGTTAGGACTCTGTTCCTAATCAGCATACCTCAGAGGTTAGATCCGAGCACCAACATCAGGTGCCTCTACTACTCAAACCCAGAGCAACTCAACACCCACTTCTGTCCTTGTGGGCACCTGTGAACACACATGTCCCCCATGCACACACATATGGTGATATTTTATTTGTACTGAAATGTGATTTTATTTGTATGTTAATAAATAAAGTTACCTGGGGGTCAGAGCTAATAGCAAGCCATAGCAGAGCTGGGCGTTTGTGGCACACGCCTTTAATCCCAGCGCTTGGTAGACAGAACTAGGTAGATCTCTGTGTGGTCAAGGATACAGCCAGCATTGGAGACACACGCCTTTAATCTCAATACTAACCATAGAAGATCTGGAGGTCTGTACAGACAGGCAGTGACGAGGCGGTCATGTGGTTGGGTTTACAACCAATGAGAAGGCAGAACAGAAAGTCTATATAAAGACAAACACTCAGGAAGTAGGTCTCTCTTGGCTGAAGAGGCTAGCTGCAGCAGGCGGGTAAGGCTCTTAGCTCTGATCTCTTGGCTTTCTTCTTTGCATTGGTTCTGTGTTTCTTATTTAATAAGTTGGTTGGTTACATCTACACACACAGATGAAATAGTTACTTTAAAAGTTATATGGATTAACCCAGGATGACCTCATTCACTGTACAGTCAGGGCTCCTCCTGTCTCTACTCCCAAATGCAGTGATTACAGTAGTACACACTATATCCTGTAGGGATACAATACACTGTGCAGCTATGACAACATTCAGATCTTCGTTTCCTAAAGTATATTTTCAAAAAGATTTATTAAACATTTCATAAAATACAAGTTTTTATACTTTTTGGATTGCCATTCTTTTTAAAGGTTGTTGCCTCATGGTGCAACCTTTAATCCCAGCACTCAGGAGGCAGAGACAGGTGGATCTCTGTAAGTTCAAGGGCCAGCCTGATCTACAGAGTGAGTTCCAGGCCAGCCAGGACTATGGAGTGAGACCCTGTGAGTCTGTAACTTTGCTCCTGTCTAGTTCTCTGTAATTTGTGTCAGTAAACGTGGCAGTAGATCTTGCCTGTTGGAATGGCACAGGCTGCCTATAATCTGTCTTCACGAACAGCTGAAGTCTGAATAGACCACACATCTGTGGGATTTCTTTTGTGTTTTTCCAATATAACCTTTACACATACACTCTTCTGATAGGAAAGAGTAGACTGTAAAAAGGCAAGTAAGTTCTAGAAATGGTAGCCAGTTTTTTCCTTTTGTTTGAAAATGCTGAGGAAAATTGTGCAAGTTAAAAAAATTACCCATAATGTTCCCCATCCTAATGCAGCCATTTTAGATTTTATTTTTTATTGTATTTCTGTTTTTATTTACATAATCCAGGCACCTGTGCTCTGATTGACTTTTCATGTGGTTTTTATCTGAGTGTGTTTAGTCTTGATGATGAACTCAGTCCTGCTGGTGCACACGTAAGTGCTTCTCAGTTTTCTTAGGACAGTTCTCAGAGTGTGGTTATTGTAGGTAGTGCAGTAAGAACAGTCTGCGGTTCCCTGGGTTGCCACATTTACAGTCTCACCATTTGGGATTTTATACATTGTTGCTAAAGTTTCTCTGCTTTTGTGTGATTTGTCTTTATACTCTCTTCATTTGTATAAATAAATGTCTGGATGGTTTCCTTTCTATGGTGCAGGAGTCCTTTGTAGTAAGTAATTAGCAGAAGTATTTTTCATGGCCTGTCTTAGTTCCCTTTCCAGGTCCTGTGATTAAATGCCCTGACAAACGTGACCGAAAGGGGAAGTGCTTACTTTGGCTCCAGTTCAAGGGTGCAGCCCGTCAGAGCAGGGAAGGCATGCTGGTCGGAGCTCCAGGGTCAGGACTATTCAGCCACAAACATTAGTACTCACTGGCTTTCTCCATTTTACACAGTCCAGGACCCCTGCCTGGGGAATGGCCCTGCACACTCCTGTCAAGACCCTCCTCCCAGGCATGCCCAGGGCCCATCTCCCAGGAGGCTCTGGAGCCCGCCACGCTGGTGCACCGAGAACGTGTGTCTTGCTGTTTAGACTTGGGTTTAGCTGCCTGTACTTGCTGACTCATTTTCTTCATTCTCGCCTCTGCCATCGTCAGATGTGTGAATATGAGTGGTTAAAATATATTAAAATTTAAAATATCTTAACTTTCATGGGTAGCTGAAACCAAGACACAAACTCTGAAAAAGTTCAAGATTCATCCTTTTTTAAATTTTAATCAAAACATTGAAGAAATATATGTGACTTATGTGTCTTAGGCCTTAAGATACATGGCATAATAAATCATTTGACTTACAAACAAAAGGCAAGTTAGAGTTTTCTGAAGATAACCCCAGCATAGAACATACCCAATCACCTCATTTTGATTCTTTAACCCTTACATTTCTGAGAAATATTGTGTTTGCCTGAAAGTTGTTTAAAATAGTCATAGGATTTATTTTCTGACCTTGAATCCACAAACATCAAAATATGGGAATTTGTTCTTTATAAGCTCAAAATCGCAATTGGTGAACAGGGGTAAACTCACGTTTCCTGTGCTCATGGGATCTCCTTTCTTCCATAATGAAGTAATTCACGGTTGCGGACTCACTGGGATCCCCCATCTAAGAACAACTGGGACAGTTTATGCCCCTCTGACCAGTTTGAAATCCATATCAAACTTACAATGAACATTTAGAGGTTCAATTGGATGGTGAGTCATTCTGTTTCAAAGGAAGAAAGTAATTTACATCGTATCATGATCTGGATAATGATTCAAAAGCACTCTAAGCACCGTGCATTTATTAAGCAAATGGAGACAACAGTGTGAAGTTTGGGCACTGAAATGATTGTAATAGCTGTAAAATTTAGATAGAAGGACTGTCTTGGCCCTTTGATGAATACAGATGTTAAGCAGGCATCACACGTCACTCAGATCAGCAATCATTTAGCAACGTGTAAATTAAGTTCTTCAAATAGTATGTTTTCAGATTGATGTTAAAAATGCTGAAGCCAGTCACAATGTTGTTAGGTATTGTT